GCAGCAGCAGGAGGCGGGCGGCGCGGCGCGCGCGCGGGCCGAGCGCAGCGAGAAGCTGGCGCTCTACCTGGCCGAGGTGGAGAAGCAGGACCGCTACCTGCGCCAGCGCGGCCGCTTCCGCTTCCACATCATCCCCGACGGCAACTGCCTGTACCGCGCCGTGAGCCGGGCCGTGTACGGCGAGCAGCGGCTGCACGGCGAGCTGCGCGAGCAGACCGTGCACTACATCGCCGACCACCTGGAGCACTTCAGCCCCATCATCGAGGGCGACGTGGGCGAGTTCCTCATCGCCGCCGCGCAGGACGGCGCCTGGGCCGGCTACCCGGAGCTGCTGGCCATGGGGCAGATGCTCAACGTGAACATCCACCTGACGACGGGCGGCCGGCCCGAGAGCCCCACYGTGGCCACCATGACGCACTACCTGGGCCCCGAGGACGCGGCGCGGCCCAGCATCTGGCTGAGCTGGCTCAGCAACGGGCACTACGACGCCGTGCTGGACCGCGTGTACCCCAACCCCGAGTACGAGGCCTGGTGCCGCCAGACTCAGGTGCAGCGCCGGCGGGACGAGGAGCTGGCCAAGTCCATGGCGGTGTCGCTCTCCAAGATGTACATTGAGCAGAACGCGTGCTCCTGAGGGCGCGCGCCGCGGGAACAGGCCGCATGCCGCCCCGCCGATGCCTTAACCCACGGCGGGATGCGGCGCGCGGCGGGATGCGGCGCGCAGGGCCGCTGGACTCCGCGGGCACAGGGGAGCCCCGCGCCCCCAGACCCCCCCGCACGCTCGTGGCTCTCCCCGCCGCCCCTCCGGTCCTCTGTTTTCTATAAGAATGTATTTTTTTGCACAATATTTTTAAACTGTTACCTCCGTCTCCTACATCTCGTGTTAGCATCCGGCTTTCAGCTGTGCAGCCAAAAACGTTTGTAAACTGTTCGTTTTGTAAATAAGGCTTATGATGTAACAGCTATTTTTTGCTGTGTATTTTTTTTTTTTATCCGTAAACCTTATATTTCTATCAAATGAAGTTGATGTCAGACTTGCCCTCCCTAAGTGATGAAAACTTTTTTTTTCCTTTTTTTTTCTTTTTTTTTTTTCTTTGTAAAGCTAAACACTAGTTTTTTAGAAGTGCAGCAAAGTATGAAAAGAGTGAGTGCTTTTCCAAACTCTTGCTTTCGGAGCGGGTCTGTGGAGCCAGTTGGAACGCAGCTACCCGGGAGCAGCACGGGGAGCAATTGCCTCTGCTGTATTTAATCACTGTTTTGAGTAAACTGCCCTCTTGTTGCCTGGCTGGCTCATCCTCTGCTCCGTTTATGTTATTTATCTGTAATAACAGAACATTAACTCGCAATAGAATGTTGTGACTAGATAATAGTCTCCTGCTCTGGCAGTAATTGCCTTGGCTGCACCTCAGTGTTTGTGTTCCTGTTTCTGAGGTTGTGGTGTCTTTTGTACTGAGCCCTGCTTTTTTTTTTTTTTTTAAATTATTTTTTATTTTTTGGGGGGCACTTGTGTTGCACCAACCAGTCATTTTCTGATCACAACATTTTATTCCTTTGGTGTTATTTTTCCAATGGGGAAATCAGGAATGGTATTCAATGTTATGGTTAAAAAAAATATATATTTAAAATGAGATCTGTATGGTTTGCTGGGTCAAACGTTTAATGTTTCCAATCTGAATGCTGTCACTTCTGATTTCTGATTAACTTTAACTTGTTAGATATATTTATTAAGTAATGCAGTTTGTACTTTTTTATTTTGTAATATATTGTGATTTTGGAATTTATACTGTATTTGTATAATAGGAATATTCTCAGCTAAGATGGAATGAATAAAGAATATAATTTTATTTGTGCTGTTTTCTCCAGCCGTTATATTTGATGTGATCAAGTGTTGCAAATTGCCCAGGGCCCTTTATTTGCCTCCTCTGCCCTTCCCAGTTAATAGGAGGAAAGAAGCGAGGGGTGCTTTAGAGGAATGAATAGCTAGGAATCCTACTGTCTTTGAAAACCCCAAAGAAATGTAAACATTTAGTGAAAAGTGAATATTTTAAGATTCTCTTGCAGTTTTGAGAGATTTTTAGCATATACCTTTGCCAATGAAATGCACTTTTATATATTAATAGGCCTTAGAGGAGGAGTTCCCAAGGCCTGCCCCATGTTGGCCRTGTCCATGCCGGGATTCCCTCTCCTGGGCCACGTGCGCTTGGGCTTGCCAATGGAGAGCCTCCCTTGTGCTGTTGTTCCCAAAATCGTGTTGATTCCACCTTGTTTCCATTGGTACCGCCTGCTTGTTGCTTGCACAGAGGCAAGGTTGTAAGGAACTGTGGTCGGGTAGTTCCCCTTCCCCTTGAAAGTAGCGGAGGGTCTGTGTGTGTCTCTCTGTCAGTGGGTTTTTTTTTTTATGTATAACATTCCCCTCAATCTCCAGTAATGTCAGAAGTCCATCTTTATTTAACAGAACAGTACTGAATTAAAATTGCAATAAAAACAAGCCAAGTAGCTGAAATTAAGCAGTCTTAATTGAACATCTTGCCCTGATAAAGGGCTACGGGGCTGTTAATGTGCATATCTGGCACTGCTACTTCTTGTATGCAGTGGCGCGGGTAGGAAGTTTAAATCTGCACGTCATTTCTGAAACGCCTAAATGCTCAACCCCAATTTTTTGCTGTTTTCTTCACACACAGTCATGTGTTTCCTTTAGAGGTCGAGGAGGGAAATATAATCTTGCAAATCTACTGTTTACTGTTACTTGAAAGCCCTGTTCATAGAGGTGGACAAGGCAAAAGTGCGCAAATGAATATATTCATGAAAAAAAAAAGGTAGTTGCTAGGAAAAACAGCTACTGAAGTGGACTCTCTTAAACATGAAAATATTAGTATGTGTTTACTACGTGTCACTGTGCGTGACTCATACAAAGCTACTATCAGGAATGTTCTTGCTTTTGTTTGGATGTAATGATTTCACTCAAAAAGTTGTCAATACCTCAAGCTTTTAATATACAACTGCTTTCTCCTTTTGCCTCCTTTAAAACGACCAGCTTCAGCTACATCATGAGTCGCGTAGATGCAGCTGCCCTAATGATAAGTGAAGATAGGGATAAGTGAAGAAGGATCAATGTGGTGTCTCCCTGTGAGATACAATTTTTATTAAAATATCAACAAGTAGTGGTGGAGGAGAGGAGGGTGGCGCCAACCTCTGGGATAAGTGTCTGCAGGGTCCCTTGGTAGTTTTGGTGTCACTGCATGGTTCACAGTGTGTAACTGGAAGGAATTTGGGAAAAAAAATTACTTGTGGAACTAGTTTGTGAAGAAGATGACAAGAAGGTATTGCTGAAGCATATATAGCAAGGTACTTATTTTTGTGACTTGTGTTATGTACTGGGTCTATCCTAAAATGAAGTTGAAAAATGGCTTGTCAGACATTTACAGCACAGGAAAATAAACAGACATACAGGCTTAAGGTTCAGCTGAGACCCTGAGATCAGATATGAGTGAATGATGTCTTGCTTGGACCATAGTGTTTGACACGACCTAATACGGCCCTGCTTTCCTTATCAAAACTGCCCATAACGTCGTGGCTTTTCAGCTGTGTACCTCCCTCCCCGCTACCATTTGAAATAAACTGTGCCAGCAAAAACACAATTAGATGTGAATTTTCCCTTGCTGTTTCCTGTTTAACTACTCCAGTAACAAGGGAAGGACAAATATTGCCCTGGCTTATAACTTCAGCACCTGATTATTTTAACCTTGGCTAATCACTTGCATAACTCAGTTAATCCTTAGACCTGTCTGGGGACTCTAGTCAACAGAACCTGTATTATTGACAAGAAGTGTGAAGGAGAGCTTAGTTTTCAGTATTCAGGTGTGTGTTGTTTAAGCCAGATAGAAAATGCTTTAATGTTAAACTGAGCAAATTTTGTCTGGAATCAGCTCCTGCGGACTCCACATCGGCATAAACCTGTGCAATGCCATCGTCACTTGCATTTTATAACAGATCTGTGTATTAAAAGACATGGCAGGTACTTAATCTGAGGAGTTTGTTAGGTTGTCAAGACTATGTCATTCTGTCACTGTGTAATGGATATATTATAATTTTCTTGTGTGTTGAAAAGAAGCTGTTAAACAAAGCAAGGTTTGCAAGGCTCAGGCTGTTTTTTATGTAAAATTAATGCCTTCCAAAATGCGGGCACAAGTGGGAAAGGGAAGATGTGCTCCAATGTTGTTCTTCATCTCAGTCAACTGCTTTCTTTTGGGAAAACTCAGTGAAGGATTTGTTTGTACTTAGCAAGGTAGGATCTGTAAGAGTTGCCGAATGCCAGCTACTGGGTTTAGCTGTTGCTCTTGTACTTTGCTAGTACACTACATGTATAAACTCTAAATCTGTTACATTAATGTTGCATTTGGAAATAAAAGGCATATTTCAGTACTTCAGTATATGCACAAACCCATTTGCATCCAAACGTTTCTTCCGATTGATTTTGTTTTCTTCTTATGTTGTAATTAGTTCGTGAGATTCTTAAGGATGTTTTTGGTTTGTTGAGTGTATCAGTGTGCACGTACACGGTATTTTCAAAATAACCAAGTGAAAAATGACTGTAGGTGTCTCATAATACAGGCAAGTATCTACAGGTAAGTACTGCTTGCTTAGGTCCAGTATAATCTTTTTTGTTTATTTGTTTAAAATATATTTAACAGTTTATCAGTAAATATTAATAAGAGAGGCTCATAGAATGTTGGTTAATAGGGTGCAAAAAGGAAAAGCTCAGCTTTGGGGTTAAAAGGCCATCCCATTTCTGACTGATGCAATTGCATGAATGTGTACAGTGTGCAGAAAGGTCCTGAGTAGCAGCTTGAAGGGACATCATTTCAGTCAGCTAAAATTCTGTAATTACTGGGACTTTTATAAAGAGGCAGAACTTTCAAATTTGAACTTAGTAATGTACAAGCTGGTTTGCAACATACATACATTCATTTTAGTTGAAAGAAGTGGCTTTCATATTTCATATCCAACTTTATAATCTACTTTAAAGCATGTTATGTTTTTAATGCTTATTTTATTTGCTGCTTTTCTTTAACGAAAATAATAGAAAATAAGCAGTTGTTTCTCATGAGAGGTGATCCAAGCCACTTGCACTGCAGTACGGTTCAGCAACAGCAGTGGCATTTGCAAAGAAGGCTCTTACTGAAGGAGAGGATGGCTGGGAGGAAGGCTGGAGCTGGGAGAAARCGGTGGTGGTGGCAGAGCCCAGTTCACTTTGCATCCTCCTTTTGTGCTCCCCTGCATCCTGAGTGCTGGGCAGTCCCGACTCGCTGCCATGCAAAGGAAAGAAGGAATCTAACAAGTGTCACCAAAAAAGCCAGACAGGATTGCATGGGCAAAGATACATTTTTATAGCCCATGAACTGTCATTAGTTATTGAAGAATGAAAGCATGCGTGAATCCCAAAATGGTTTGCAAGGGTCAACATGATTTAAAAAATCCCATAAAGCATAAAGCAATAGCTTTTTGAGACCCCAATAAGATGTTGAAAATATGTATATTTTAAAAATAGATCCAAACATTTTATCTACATCATATTATTTTCACATCTACAAGGATCCATTATGATTTACTGCAGCATATTCCTTTTTTTTTTTTTTTTTTTTTCTCTTGAATGTAGAGCTTCATTTTTCAGCTATTCAACTAACCAACATTTCTGGGCAAGAAAGCACATGGT